AATACCTCCAAATCAGTCACGAAAGAAAAAGAATCATCCAGTTTTGTCTTGCACATTGTGTCCCACTCATGCTGATTGAATGAAATAGTTTCTACATGATGATGTGGCGATTCGTTTTTCCTCTGCGATTGTAACATGCAGCTACGCGCACATCGCCATCACCAGTAGTCCTGTACAACTGAAAATAAATGCGTGAATAGATACCCTATATCTATAAAACAGAGTCGATAGGACAAAACATTTCAATAGAAACAATACCAAACAAATAATTTCATCACATGAATAATACAATTTTGTTTGGTCCAGATCCACTCGAGGAGAGCTATCTTGATCTACATATTACTTATAATCTCGATTATACAGCTCAAGAATTAACAACACTACTCCCATGTGGAAGCGGATGATTTGAATCCATGTCAGGAAATACGTTTAGTCTTTTGCTTTGTTCATATGTTGATAAAGTAAACGTGATTGGCTCCCCTTGGTAATATTTCCACTATTGTGACTTTAGAGTAGCTTCCCTTCATAAATGCTGCGCAACATGGTAAACGTAACCTAGATATCTAGGTCATATATGACTTATCGTGATGTGTCGTGAAGTACAGTAATTATTCACCCTTCAATCCGTGGATACGCTACAGAAACATTTGTGTAGCCCTTTCCCATTTCTCTGCGATTTCCCTGAACTACATGACAGTTTCGTAATGTACCGTTCAAGGGAAATTTGAAACCAGGAAGTAAACATTGAGATTGGTCGCCATTACGCGATTGTGTCCTTGCCACGTTTAGCCTCGTTTTGGTACAGATATGAATATTCATGAGGCCTCATTAAGAATGGTCTATTAAAGTGTAGGTCATGGAGCACCGGGCATGTTACCCTGTCACTATAAGTGTCCTTGACAGGTTTATATTATCATCATTATTTTATAGCCATGCGTTATGTGCTGTATCGGACCATTTAATTCCGACAGAACTAGATTATAGGGTTCCTCTTGATAAAGGTTTGTGAACGTCATGCAACATTATACGTATTTCAACTTAGGATTATTGTACCAGTTCATCTGTCCGCTATTAATTTCACCACACATGTTGTGTTAATGGTGATTGTAAATTGATTTTCATTTCCACGAAGCAAGGTTTATCTCATGACGTGAGTTGAATTTGTGAATTAATTGTTAACGTTCATAATTAAGTATCATGTTGCTTATAATATTCTGTAAGTTTGGAATGTACAGATAGTTGTGTTGCTTATAATATTCTGTAAGTTTAGAATGTACAGATAGTTGTGTTGCATAGTGAATTATCAAATGCAGCGGCACCTATGTATAAATCTCACCATTGAAGTTTTGTACAGTCGGTAGCCGTTAAAGTATGTATTACGTTGTAGTAACAATCATGTGTTCAGATGGCTATTAGCATAATCACTTGTCTTTGTGTTGAATGACGGTTATTATTCTACGTGAATTGCAGTGTTGTAATCAGTCTGTAAAGTGTAATCATTCTGAACATGTAATACTCTGTTGAATGATTAGTACATCATAGATCCACTGCAATTTGCATATCAAGCGAGGCGAGGAGTAGAGGACGCTACGACAACACTGTTGAACGCAATGTATACGCACACCGATACGCCAAAGTCGTATGTACGGGTTATGTTTGTGGACTTTAGTTCCGCATTCAACACGATTCAACCTCACCTCAGAAACTGTGTGAAATGGATGTGCATCGTAACACGATTCTGTGAATAAAAGACTTTCTGGTAAATAGAACTCAGTGTGTGAGGGTAAACGGAACAATATCTTCCCATCAAACCATCAGTACCGGTGCGCCACAAGGTTGTGTGTTATCTCCAGTTTTATTCACATTATATACCAATGACTGCAATAGCACAGAAAATGGGACACTGTTAGTTAAATTTGCTGATGATGCTGCTATCGCTGGACTCATCACTAACTGTGATGAAACTTGTTACCGTCGTGCAATATCAAATTTCTCTGACTGGTGTGACGGTAACTTTCTTGTCCGGAATACTAAAAAGACAAAAGAAATGATAACAGATTTCCGGACTAAGAAGGAAGACTTACTGCCTGTGACTATTCATGACGGTGATATAGAAATCGTGTCAGAATATAAGTATTTGGGAACTGTTATAGACAATAAGCTCAACTGGAACAAGAATACGGACAGAATCTATGCTAAGTGCCAACAACGCCTGTACTTCCTGAGAAACTTAGATCATTCAATGTTAGCACTCCCACGCTTGTTTTATTCTACAAAACATTTATCCAAAGTGTTCTTTGTTTTTCCATTGAAGCGTGGTCGGGGGCTCTGACAATAAAACAAAGAAACAAATTCTCCAAAACAATAACCCAAGCAGACAAAATTTCAGGTACATCCTTCGAGGACATCACATGTCTAGGTCAGCCGCAAGTCAGAAATCTAGCACTCAAAATTTGTACAGATTCGAACCACTTTCTTCATCCCGAATATAAACTTCTTCCTTCAGGCCGCCGCTATCAAACTCCCCGCCTCAGGACAAAGAGAGCAACCGACTCATTTATCCCATACAGTATTGTTATTTTAAACAAACAGAAGTAGTTTTATTTATTCTTAGCATTCTACTGTGTTTTATGTATCTGTTCTGTATCCAGTGCTAGTCTTAAAGTGTTATACATTGTAGTTTATTTATTTATTTATTTTTATGTCCAGTTTTTATCCTTCCCATTTACATTCGTTTAATCTTAAACAACAACATTTGGTCATGTTATAACGTACTTAAAATCATTTTAACCACTGTTGATTGCTCAGTGTGATCTATGAGAGCTCCTCAGATCGTGTGACTGATGTTGTTCGTGTTGTAATGTGTATATAATGGATATATGTATTTATTGTAAATCCAGCGTCCATAACGCAAGACAAATTCCCTTCTTGGGCAATAAAGTATTATTATTATTATTATTATTATTATTATTATTATTATGTTTTACAGATTAGAGATAGTATGCAGCAGAGAGGGTTTGGGTGATCCTGGCACAGTCAGGCTGGTAAGGCTCATCATCAGCTCAGGGCCCTCGCCCCCTCTACACGCAGCTCAGACAGCGAAAGGGACTACTCCCAGGAAACGCTGCCTAGTCGAACCCACCAAGAACTTTCCGGAGAATATGAAGGCTCCCCATCACTGCAGCCCTTTGTATATGGGCCTATTCCACAGAAGTTTGAAAGCATCATTTTCCATGACGCCCTGGACATGTTCAGGGTCGTACCATGGATGGACCTCGTGGTCAAAGCCACAGGCATGTCGGAGACGGTAGTAAAAGCAACGAGCCATGCCATCATGTTGTTTAAGATATGATGTTTGTGCCAAGGAAGGGCATCCACTGACAAGGTGTCGGACAGTCTCCGTGAATTCATTGCAAAGTCGACATTTCATATTGATCTTTTCTTTAAGAATCACATTTAGGCGATTGCGAGTGGGAAGTGACTGGTCCTAAGCAGCAAAAAGGAAGCCCTTAGTTTCACATTTAAGACCAGCCGAGTTCATCCAGGCGAAGGAGTCGGTGGGATTGCTATTCTGTTCAACACACTGCATGTACACACGATGCAATGGCTTCTCAGAAAGCGTCTCCGCAAAAGACCGACTCTGGGCAGACTTAGTGAAGGACTTCACCTGGTTTACTCCCATCACTGTACCGTCAAGCAGTACATCGCCATCAACAAAATCATCCTGAAATCTCAGATTGTGTCCAACAACCTTGGCACGCTTAAAATAGCTGTGGAATTCCTTGCTTTCATCATGAGTCTTCACATGCATCACTAGAGGATCATCCGATAAATAAATATATGCAAAAGTACACAATAAAATTCTATCATGAAGAGCCTCCACATTAATCAAACCCCGACCACCAGAATTGATTGGCATATATAAACGGTTAAGAGAGGAACGAGGGTGGTGGGCTCTGTTATCAGACATGATCCTTCTGGTAAGGCGGTCAAGACTCTGGATGTCTTGTTTCGTCCAGTCAACTGCTCCAAAGGAATAGGAGAGGACTGGCACAGCAAAAGTATTGGTGGCTTTTACCTTGTTTGGAGCATTTAGCTCTGAGCTCCAGATTTTCTTTAAACGAGATTTGTACTCGGCCCGAAGTTTTTCTTGAATTTGGGCATTCTGGAGCTTGTCTCGAACTTGCATTCCAAGATAGGTGTAGGCCTGATCTTCCACAAGATGCTCAATAACTCCTCCCCCGTGTAACCTGACCGACCCATCATTAACTACCTTGCCACGTTTCAAGTGAAGAGTATTACATTTGTCGAGTCCAAATGTCATGACAATATCATTAGAAAAGGACTCGACAAGGAGAACCTGTTCTTTCAAATTGGAATCTCCTTTGGCAAGGCGCTCGAATGTCATCCATGTAAAGGAGATGAGTAAGAGGTGTTGGGGATCTGTGCTGATAATTATTATTATTATGTTTTACAGATTAAAGATAGTATGCAGCAGAGAGGGTTCGGGTATTATTATTTATTATTATTATTATTATTATTATTATTATTATTATTATTATTATTATTATTATTATTATTATATCAAATGTATTGATATTTGTACAGTGTCCGGGACCAGTGTGATCTTCCATCCTGTAAGGGGAGTGCCTGTGTGGCCTGTGTGGACCAGTACGGCCCGTTAAGGGGAGATCCTTAACGGGCCGTACTGGTCCACACAGGCCACACAGGCCACACAGGCACTCCCCTTACAGGGCCGTTCTGGTCCGCACTGGCCACACAAGTCACACAGGAGCTCCCCTTTCCGAGGTTGTACTGGTCCACACACATCAGACAGGCCACAAAGGAACTCCCCCTTCCAGGGCCGTACTGGTCCACACAGGCCACACAGGCCACACAGGAGTTCCACCTTACAATGCCGTACACGTCCACAGAGGCCATACAGGCCAAAAAGGAGCTCTCCATTACAGGGCCGTACTGGTCATCACAGGCCACAAAGGCCACACAGGAGTTCCCCCTTACAGGGCCGTACTGGTCATCACAGGCCACACAGGCCACACAGGAGTTCCCCCGTACAGGGCCGTACTGGTCATCACAGGCTACACAGGCCACAAAGGAGCTCTCCATTACAGGGCCGTACTGGTCATCACAGGCCACAAAGGCCACACAGGAGTTCCCCCTTACAGGGCCGTACTGGTCATCACAGGCCACACAGGCCACACAGGAGTTCCCCCGTACAGGGCCGTACTGGTCATCACAGGCTACACAGGCCACAAAGGAGCTCTCCATTACAGGGCCGTACTGGCCAACACAGGCCACACAGGAGCTCCCCCTTACAGGGCCGTACTGGTCATCACAAGCCTCACTAAGACTCCCCCTTACAGGGCCGTACTGGTTCATACAGGCCACACAGGAGCTCCCCCTTACAGGGCCGTACTGGTCCACACAGGTCACACAAAGTCCCCCTTACAGGGCCGCTTTGGTCCATACAGGCCACACAGGAACTCTCCCTTACAGGGCCGTACTTGTCCATACAGGCCACACAGGAATTCCACCTTACGGGGCCGTACTGGTCATCACAAGCCACACAGAAATTCCCCCTTACAGGGCTATAGTGGTCCGCAAAGGCCACACAGGAAATCTCCCTTACAGGGTCGTACTGATTCCTACAGGCCAACACAGGCCACACAGGAACTCCCCCTTACAGAACTGCTCTTGTCCATACAGGTCACACAGGTACTCCCCCTTACAGGGCCGTACTGGTCAACACAGGCTACACATGAACTCTTCCTTACAGGGCCGTACTGGTTCATACAGGCCACACAGGAATTCCCCCTTACAGGGTCGTACTGGTCATCAAGGGCCACACAGGAACTCCCCCTTACAGGACCGCTCTTGTCCATACAGGCCACACAGGAACTCCCCCTTACAGGGCCGTACTTGCCAACACAGGCCACACAGGAGCTCTCCCGTACAGGGACGTACTGGTTCATACAGGCCACACAGGGCCCCCCTCCCCTTACAGGGCCGTACTGGTCCCCACAGGCCACACAAAGTCCCCCTTACAGGGCCGCTCTGGTCCATACAGTCCACACAGGAACTCAACCTTACAGTGCCGTACTGGCCATCACAAGCCACACAGAAATTCCCCCTTACAGGGCCGTACTGGTCCGCACGGGCCACACAGGAACTCCCATTACAGGGCCGTACTGATTCCTACGGGCCACACATGAACTCCCCCTTACAGGGCCGTACTGGTCATCACAGGCCACACAGGAACTCTCCCTTACAGGGCCGCTCTTGTCCATACAGGCCACACAGGAACTCCCCCTTACAGGGCCGCTCTTGTCCATACAGGCCACACAGGAATTCCCCCTTACAGGGCCGCTCTGGTCATCACAAGCCACACAGGAACTCCCCCTTACAGGACCGCTCTTGTCCATACAGGCCACACAGGTACTCACCCTTACAGGGCCGTACTGGTCAACACAGGCTACACATCAACTCTTCCTCACAGGGCCGTACTGTTTCATACAGGCCACACAGGAATGCCCCCTTACAGGGCCGCTCTGGTCCATACAGGCCACACAGGAGCTCCCCCTTACAGAACTGCTCTTGTCCATACAGGTCACACAGGTACTCCCCCTTACAGGGCCGTACTGGTCAACACAGGCTACACATGAACTCTTCCTTACAGGGCCGTACTGGTTCATACAGGCCACACAGGAGTTCCCCCTTACAGGGTCGTACTGGTCATCAAGGGCCACACAGGAACTCCCCCTTACAGGACCGCTCTTGTCCATACAGGCCACACAGGAACTCCCCCTTACAGGGCCGTACTTGCCAACACAGGCCACACAGGAGCTCTCCCGTACAGGGACGTACTGGTTCATACAGGCCACACAGGGCCCCCCCCCCTTACAGGGCCATACTGGTCCCCACAGGCCACACAAAGTCCCCCTTACAGGGCCGCTCTGGTCCATACAGTCCACACAGGAACTCAACCTTACAGTGCCGTACTGGCCATCACAAGCCACACAGAAATTCCCCCTAACAGGGCCGTACTGGTCCGCACGGGCCACACAGGAACTCCCCATTACAGGGCCGTACTGATTCCTACGGGCCACACATGAACTCCCCCTTACAGGGCCGTACTGGTCATCACAGGCCACACAGGAACTCTCCCTTACAGGGCCGCTCTTGTCCATACAGGCCACACAGGAACTCCCCCTTACAGGGCCGCTCTTGTCCATACAGGCCACACAGGAATTCCCCCTTACAGGGCCGCTCTGGTCATCACAAGCCACACAGGAACTCCCCCTTACAGGACCGCTCTTGTCCATACAGGCCACACAGGTACTCACCCTTACAGGGCCGTACTGGTCAACACAGGCTACACATCAACTCTTCTTTACAGGGCCGTACTGTTTCATACAGGCCACACAGGAATGCCCCCTTACAGGGCCGCTCTGGTCCATACAGGCCACACAGGAACTCCCCCTTACAGGGCCGCTCTTGTCCATACAGGCCACACAGGTACTCCCCCTAACAGGGCCGTACTTGTCAACACAGGCTACACATGAACTCTTCTTTACAGGGCCGTACTGGTTCATACAGGCCACACAGGAATTCCCCCTTACATGGCCGCTCTGGTCATCACAAACCACACAGAAACTCCCCCTTACAGGGCCGTACTGGTCCGCAAAGGCCACACAGGAAATCCCCCTTACAGGGCCGAACTGATTCCTACAGGCCACACATGAACTCCCCCTTACAGGGCCGTATTGGTCATCACAGGCCACAAAGGAACTCCCCCTTACAGGGCCGCTCTGGTCCATACAGGCCACACAGGAATTCCCCCTTACAGGGCCGCTCTGGTCATCACAAGCCACACAGGAACTCCCCCTTACAGGGCCGCTTTTGTCCATACAGGCCACACAGGTACTCACCCTTACAGGGCCGTACTGGTCAACACAGGCTACACATCAACTCTTCCTTAAAGGGCCGTACTGTTTCATACAGGCCACACAGGAATTCCCCCTTACAGGGCCGCTCTGGTCCGTACGGGCCACACAGGAACTCCCCCTTACAGGGCCGTACTGGCCAACACAGGCCATACAGGATCTCCCCCTCACAGGGTCGTACTGGTCATCACAGGCCACACAGGAACTCCCCCTTACAGGGCCGCTCTTGTCCATACAGGCCACACAGGAACTCCCCCTTACAGGGCCGTACTGCCCAACACAGGCCACACAGGAACTCTCCCTTACAGGGACGTACTGGTTCATACAGGCTACACAGCAGCTCCTCCTTACAGGGCCGTACTGGTCCACACAAGTCACACAGGAGCTCCCCTGTACAGGGACGTACTGGTCCACACAAGCCCTGACACGAGATGAACTGAGATAATCATAACCTGTGTGGCCTCGCCTTGACTGGCCAACCATGTACTCCATCACGTAGCCCTGACACGAGATGAACTGAAATAATCATAGCCTGTGTGGCCTCGCCTTGACTGGCCAACCATGTACTCCATCACGTAGCCCTGACACGAGATGAACTGAAATAATCATAACCTGTGTGGCCGCGCCTTGACTTGCCAACCATGTACTCCATCACGTAGCCCTGACACGAGATGAACTGAGATAATCATAGCCTGTGTGGCCGCGCCTTGACTGGCCAACCATGTACTCAATCACGTAGCCCTGACACAAGATGAACTGAGATAATCATAACCTGTGTGGCCTGGCCTTGACTGGCCAACCATGTACTCCATCACGTAGCCCTGACACGAGATGAACTGAGATAATCATAACCTGTGTGGCCGCGCCTTGACTGGCCAACCATGTACTCCATCACGTAGCCCTGACACGAGATGAACTGAGATAATCATAGCCTGTGTCACGTCGACACTGTGACAGTTACAGCCAATCTGTGATGAATCTGTGAACTGTGAAATACATGTGAAACACTTAATCGATTGTGTGTGTGTGTGTGTGTGTGTGTGTGCGTGCGTGTGTCCTAATCCCCACACTGGTAGGGACATTTGTTTTACATATTGTAGATGCCTTACTCACAGGGGTTCTGTCAGTAAGTCATCTTTGTTGAGGTCGCAGATGTGAGATCTATTTACGACAAAACTGCTAAAGTCCATTTAGCAAAATGGTCATCGTGAAAGAGGTCATCGTGAACATAGGTGATCCTGTGAATTGAAAGTGTAATGCTATGTTTCCGTACATTGTCAGAATCATAGCTACTGAATGGTGTTTCACAAACATGCTTCGGATAAAGTTATATTTGCACACTGGACACAAGCCGTGTTCTCTAACTCTCTCGTTGTGGGAAGGTTACTGTATTTCTATATAAGTACAACTGTGTGTATACATGTACAACTGTGTGTATACATGTACAACTGTTTGTATACATGTACAACTGAGTGTATACATGTACAGCTGTTTGTATACATGTACAACTGTTTGTATATATGTACAAATGTTTGTATACATGTACAACTGTTTTATACATGTACAACTGTGTGTATACATGTACAACTGTGTGTTTACATGTACAACTGTTTGTATACATGAACAACTGTGTGTTTACATGTTCAACTGTGTGTATACATGTACAGCTGTTTGTATACATATACAACTGTGTGTTTACATGTTCAGCTGTGTGTATACATGTACAACTGTTTGTATACATGTACAACTGTTTGTATACATGTTCAACTGTGTGTATACATGTACAGCTGTTTGTATACATGTTCAACTGTGTGTATACATGTACAGCTGTTTGTATACATATACAACTGTTTGTATACATGCACAACTGTTTGTATACATGTTCAACTGTGTGTATACATGTTCAACTGTGTGTATACATGTACAACTGTTTGTATATATGTACAAATGTTTGTATACATGTACAACTGTTTTATACATGTACAACTGTGTGTATACATGTACAACTGTGTGTTTACATGTACAACTGTTTGTATACATGAACAACTGTGTGTTTACATGTTCAACTGTGTGTATACATGTACAGCTGTTTGTATACATATACAACTGTGTGTTTACATGTTCAGCTGTGTGTATACATGTACAACTGTTTGTATACATGTACAACTGTTTGTATTCATGTTCAACTGTGTGTATACATGTACAGCTGTTTGTATACATGTTCAACTGTGTGTATACATGTACAGCTGTTTGTATACATATACAACTGTTTGTATACATGCACAACTGTTTGTATACATGTTCAACTGTGTGTATACATGTTCAACTGTGTGTATACATGTACAACTGTTTGTATACATGTACAACTGTGTGTATACATGTACAACTGTTTGTATACATGTACAACTGTGTGTATACATATACAACTGTTTGTATACATGCACAACTGTTTGTATACATGTTCAACTGTGTGTATACATGTTCAACTGTGTGTATACATGTACAACTGTGTGTATACATGTACAACTGTGTGTATACATGTACAACTGTTTGCATACATGCACAGCTGTTTGTATACATGTTCAACTGTGTGTATACATGTACAACTGTGTGTATACATGTACAACTGTTTGCATACATGAACAGCTGTTTGTATACATGTACAACTGTGTATATACATGTACAACTGTGTGTATACATGTACAACTGTTTGTATACATGTACAACTGTTTGTATACATATACAACTGTTTGTATACATGCACAACTGTTTGTATACATGTTCAACTGTGTGTATACATGTTCAACTGTTTGTATACATGTACAACTGTTTGTATACATGCACAACTGTTTGTATACATGCACAACTGTTCGTATACATGTTCAACTGTGTGTATACATGTACAACTGTTTGTATACATATACAACTGTTTGTATACATGCACAACTGTTTGTATACATGCACAACTGTTTGTATACATGTTCAACTGTTTGTATACATGTACAACTGTTTGTATACATATACAACTGTTTGTATACATGCACAACTGTTTGTATACATATACAACTGTTTGTATACATATACAACTGTTTGTATACATGCACAACTGTTTGTATACATGTACAACTGTTTGTATACATGTTCAACTGTGTGTATACATGAACAACTGTTTGTATACATGAACAACTGTTTGTATACATGTACAACTGTGTGTATACATGTACAACTGTTTGTATACATGTTCAACTGTGTGTATACATGTACAACTGTTTGTATACATGTACAACTGTTTGTATACATGAACAACTGTTTGTATACATGTACAACTGTGTGTATACATGTACAACTGTTCACCTTCTCATACAGACACGTGTGCCATGGAGCTGACGCTTAGTTATGTAGATATAAGTGTATGCCGTTCACAGAATAGCCTTCAACGCTTGTAGATTAATACCATTACGTGTTTCTTACAGAAGAAAATATCTGTCCAGGACAATAATAAACTTCAAAGTAAAACAAATTCATATTAGCTTTCTCCCAAATATATTATCTGCCCGTATAGCCTAATAGTGTGTGGCCTTCTGGTCAATGCGATAAAGGGAAACATTTGAAATTACTGAGTATGGAACGCAATTCTGGGCACAGATTTACTTCCACCACACACGGAAATTGAAGCCTTTGCCAGATGAAGCACACACAATATTCCATTGCTTTTAAATTCGGTTATATTTTCTGAAATAACAACATGCATTTTAAATTCGAAAAATGTTTTTCGAGGATTACATTCACAGGGAGCTAAGATACAATTTTACAGCAGTGATGGCAGCCTGTTTCCGGCTTTCTCGTGTTAAATATTATACATCGCCGCCTGTCCCAACTCACAGTGACACGGTAAACGCGTAATGTACAATGTCGAAAATGTCACACTTCAACCTGAAGCAGCAGCTTGTCAATAACTATATAGTGGTGACTTAATCGCAATATATACAACATACAGGGCAATTGGCATTCGCACACACACACACACATATATATATATATATACAAATATTGACTCAAATGCATGATATCCACACTTCTCTACTTTACTGACTCAGTGGTTGTGTCATCACAGCCTTGACATGGGTCGTTGGCGCGTGACAAGTGAACAGAATGGTGATGTGTAACTCACAGTCTAACTATTGTTAGATGTTTTCTCATTTTATTTCAATCGAAAGGACTCCTGCTAATATCTTTATTGATCTTTTCTCACACAGAATGATTGGTCGACAGTGACAGTTCACTTGCAAATATGCAATGTGCACAGGTGTTTGGTGTTTGTCTTTGGCTAACCACTGACACTGAGGGATCCATGTTCTCATCAAATACCGTATGAGTAG